TTGTGGATGTTGGGTGGGTTGGGAGGAGTTAATGAACTTAGAATGTCACTGCTGGAACTTTTTTCCCTACTTCCCTTAGAGAAGTCGTTTCCTCAAATTTAAGGAGCTTGTTTCCTAGAGAAAATGTTCTCCAAAATTTTTTGATCAACCAAACATGAGAAAATTGAAAAACATTTTCTATTCTCCCTCATACCAAACACACTCTAAATGCCTTCAGTGATTAAAATTGTTGAATAAGCTACCATCTTATATTTAGCTCATTGCAAACTGATGAGATTCTTGTTACCATCATCATGATGCTGTTAGGTTTCAGTGTTTCTATTTTCTCTTTTGATATCTCTAGCTTTGTCCTTCAGTTGACACAGAACGATTTTATCTCAAATTTCATGTGAATACTGCCATCCCTAGTCTCTACTAGAATTATATGATGCCAATGATAAATTAAATATTGAAACGGCGAATAGATATTCGTAGGGATAGTAGCAGTATTTTTATGTGTTCGCGTTGGTGTTCTTGAAATAGGACATGAAGGAGCTTGGAGATAATTATCCTCTGAAAGTTTGTTCGAAGTGTTTAACAATCTGTAGTACTCTTCTGGGTTAAAGGACTTGAGTCATATATTTTTGGGAGTTTTACTTCTGATATTCCTCTAGGGAAGTTGATCCCCCCAATTTTTCTTTTCTCCAAAGACCAGTTTTTCAGATAAAAGAATCAAATCATTTTGTTGTGGAGTTGTGCTTTCCTGTTCCTTATGGTAAATTAGTTCCCCTATTTTTCTCTCCTCCAGAGAGAACCGATGATAAGAAAATGGCTTTGAGGTCTTTTTGGTGAAACTAAGCTTTAAATTAAATATTCATGTTTATGTTGAATCTGTTTATGCAGAGCATCACTAAAGAGCAGGCAAAGAGATTTACAAAATTTAGAGAAAGGAAAGCTCTTATTGAAAAAGACGTGGTAAGTATCGAATTAGTCCAGCCTTTTGGGCCTAAAAATGACTTCCATAAGAGAGGTTGAGAGGCAGTATGCAGCTCTTCACATCTGAGCCATTAACTACCAGTCTTACTTTTGTAACATATTATTTTGGTTATTGTAAAATTATGACACTTCTTATTTCTCTTCTTCCCTTTTCCTTTTTCTTTAAATTGATCTTGAAGGTTAGGACTGATAGGTCAATTGCATTCTATGATGGGGATGATAATTCTAATGTGAAGTGCTTGCGTGACATACTTCTCACTTACTCATTCTACAACTTTGACCTCGGTTACTGTCAGGTAACTGCGTTACATTAATTGGTCGCTATTTGCTTATGTGCTCATGCAAAATTAAATCAGCTAGGTGCATGATTTTTCCGATTTCTCAAACATTGAAAATCTTCAGGCTTCCTGCCTCCCTTTCTCTTTTTCTTTCTCTTAGATGTTCTGTTTCACCATAGGGAGATTTGACCTTGAAACATTGTCTATCTAGGCAGCACCGAGTCCAACCTTGATGTTAGTTTTCTGCAGAGATAGATCCCTGTTTCTGGTAGTATAATGGTGTGAAATAAAATAATAAGATTCAGAAGCTTGAATATTTTTTAACAAGAGACTATGCATTCAAACTGAGAATCTTATTTCTTCGGAAAATCTGCTGCCTAAACCATGGTGCACAGAGTTACACAGTACATGTGTTGGTGTGAGGTAGCAAATATCTTGTAGATTAAGGTGTGTGAGAGCTGGTTGTCTGGTCCCGACCCCACCTTTATTTAAAATAAAAAGGTAGCAGCGTAATAATGATGTTCTTATGCAGGTTTTTTGGTAACTAACATAATTTACTATCCAATGTCCTAATTGTTTACCTTCTATTCAATCTTTTCGGAAGCAATTGTCATACTTTTAGTTAACGAAATGGTCTCACATAATGCAAATTATAGTATCTCATATTACCAGCCTGAGATTACTCTGTTTCCCTTTTATATGTAATGTCTCTCTAGAGAATTCAATTCTTAGTGGATGATACTGGTGGAATCATGCTTTCTATGATTGATCTATGCTGTTGGTGCCTTTGTGCTCCAGTATGCTGTTTACGACTTGGTGCAAGTTCCTTTTCTTTCTTGGTTGATAACTTTTTGTTGAACTCTTTTATTCTCGACTTGTAGGGTATGAGTGATCTTCTTTCACCAATATTGTATGTGATGGGAGATGAATCACAATCATTTTGGTGCTTTGTGGCTTTGATGGAGCGACTTGGACCAAATTTTAATCGTGACCAGAACGGAGTGCATTCTCAGCTTTTTGCATTGTCAAAGGTTCTTTCTGTGTGTCTGTGTTTTCATTTTACTTGCCAGCTTCTCAACCCCCCATCCCCACACACAGGCACAGTTTTTTTGTTTTTTTTACTACTCAGTTTTATACTTTGTGTACAGTGATTCTTTCTTGCTTTTTGTGTAAAGATGCTTCCTTTGAACAATGTTTTTGTTGTATCAAAGTTTCATGAATTAATTATGTATTGGTAGCTACCTTTAGGTGACCAAAAAAGCAAAGCGGCTCTAAGAATTCAATTAAAAAATTGGTATGCAGAAATAGAATAATATAAACATATACCCACAACTCACTTGTTATGGGACAATGCAAGAGAGGACACTCTGTCTGTAATCTGCATAAAAGCATCGTGATTATTGTTTCCTTTCTTATTCTTAGGCTATTAACACAACTATAGCATGCCATGGTAATTGGTACATGCTAATGAAAAAAACACTGGTTGCAAATAAATCCCAAATGATCCACCATTAACTGCTGACAAATCCATAATGTTGCTATTAACTCTACCGTAGGTCATGAAGCGATGCAAGACTCTTTATTGGCAGGACAATTTTCTGATTGAAGGATTAGGTGTCAGACAAATGGTATCCTTCAAATGATGACCTAAACATGCCTGACTATTTAGAAACGACTCATTTTACGGCTAATGTGTTTTTAGTGCTGCATTTTGTTTTTTCTTGAAGCCCTGGCGTTTCCATCCCTTCTTATCCTTTTGCTGTTAAAAAAGATTCTTGATTTGTAGATTTCACCATATCTGGCTGATAAGTATATGTTTGCTGTCAAAAATCTGATGCACAAATTACTGGGCTATGCAGTTGGTGGAGTTATTGGACAATCCTTTGCATAATTACTTCCAACAGAAGGACTGCTTGAATTATTTTTTCTGCTTTCGCTGGGTTCTTATACAATTCAAAAGGCAAGCAGTTCTACTCCTTAAAATTCTGTGTCTGCTAGCAGCCAGCATATTATGCGCTTGTGTATTGACAGATCATTTGTGGATCCCATCTTTAAAACAAACTTGTACTATTTTCATTTTTCAGTTAAACTATGCTAATTCAATATCAAATAGAAATTAGATTATGCGATGAATATGACTAATATGTCAAAAAATTTCTGACCTTGGTGAGATTTTGAGATAGCCTTGGATTAAAAGCCAAATTCCAGACTTGTTTCTCTTTTATTTCATACTGGGAGTATGAAATCTCGCCTCCCTGTTGAGTGCTCACTCCCATTTTAGTGTAAAAATCTTTCGTTTATCATGTATGGCAGCTAGTTCTCTTTTTGTCCATTGATCCTTGAACAATTCACATGACCTTGAGAACTGAAGGAAAAGATCCCTTCTCATGATCACCTGGATAAGCATTTCTTCTTTGAACTTGTGCATGGATATATATATATATATATATATTCTGTTGAACCTATTAATGTTCAGGGATTTGGTGTAGTGATAAGAGCATAGCATGTGATGCATAAATTAGGCATACGTTACAGATTCGAACTCTGCTATAAATAAAGCCTGGCATAAAGTGGAGAAGGGTAGAGGGCGGATCAATTGTCCATCGAGTTCAATTTCAAAAAGAATTATCCATTGAATTCTGAAAAAAATGTGTGGAGGTCTAACTAAATTCACTCTATTAGGTTTTATCCATTCCTTCGACATTCACCAAAAAGAAGGCCTCCATTCATGGATATTTTTCAGAACTACAAAACAATGACATTTCTAAAGTTTTTTTCACTTGTAGAAATCCGTTTGACATTTCCCCGGAAGGAATCATGATTTTGGTCCTTAAAAGCATTAAGATTATGGGTGTGCTCCTTTCTTCCCAGCATCCCTCTCTCTGAGGATGGGAGGATAAGAGCAAACAAAGGCATAAAAGAATGTTTGATTTCACATCAGCAAAAATATGATAATTTTAGTAATTTGAATATCTTGATGCAGCTATCATTTTGTCAAATCTTATGTTACTTCTAGTTTAGGCTGTCAGACTTCAAATTGAACTAAATCGAATGTTTATTCCCTTTAAGTTGATATGTTGCCTTTTATAGGGAATTTGACTTTGAGAAAACAATGCGGTTGTGGGAGGTTTTATGGACACATTATTTGAGCGAGCATCTACATCTGTATGTCTGTGTTGCAATTCTGAGAAGACACCGCAGTAAAATAATAGGAGAAGAGATGGATTTTGACACACTGCTAAAATTTATCAATGAGCTAAGTGGTCATATTAACCTCGATGCTACCCTCAGGGAAGCTGAGGCTTTGTGCATATGTGCTGGTGAAAATGGTGAAGCTTGCATCCCTCCTGGAACTCCACCTTCATTACCATTTGAGATTACTTCAATGTACAATCAACAGGATGATGATGATATACTGTAACCTGTTCTGGATTTAAATTTCATAAATTGACGTATGACCTTGGCAATCAGTGTGATATTCTTTTCAGTGTATATATGGATTCTGATAATCAGAATATTTTTTATTTTTTTACTGGAGATCTTTAACTTTATTCACCATGTTTCTGCCCTTATATTGAAATCTTATTTCACTGTTCCTTAAATTTATTTCAAATTTGAAGTTTGTTGCTACACCAATGCGAATTAGAATTGAAAACCAGATAGCTAGCTTTTGCAACAGGAATAGCTGATATCTGGTTCATTACTTTCCTTCACTTAGTTGGAATTGACAGTTGAGGAGGAAGCTGATACTTAGAAAAAGGGAGATCTATTCATTTCTGACCTCTTGATACATGCATAAATTGGTTTCGCAAATAAGCTCATGACATTTTCAGGCAGATGAAGCACAAGCTCAAATCCGAAACCGCTAGCATGGGAGTTGTTAACTACTCATGGCGCTAGTGGAAATTGTGCGCTTATGTGAAGGATGCAATAGAGAAATACTACAACAGACTTCTAAAGGAATGGCTGAATCTCATTCCACGTTTCTTTGCCAGTACTTGTGAATGCTTCAAGCAAGACAATGTCATCCAATATGGGAATAAAAGGCTCATCTTCGAGAAATGGCATGTTATTCATTGTCGGAGGTGATAGTAAGTCCTGCATTTCTTCTATCCATGAATCTAAAGCTGTTTTGGTGGCCACTTCTTGGTTGCTTACTGTCTCAGCAGGGTACTCTTGCATTTTGCCTTGTGTGCTTTGAGTATTCGCCTCCTTGGACTTTACATGCTTCTTTTTGCCTCTACATGATCTCTTGTTGTTCAAATGTGTGTTCCAGAAGTTCTTAACTTCATTGTCTGTTCTTCCAGGTAGCCTACCAGCAATTAGCGACCATCTGTACCAAAAACGATGTGAGATAAGTATAACAAAAAAGCAAGAATGTATCAATTATTTATTCATGTTGTATTAGCAGGAAAGCAGGGGGAAAACAGTAACCGGTTGCCAAGAAGCTTGTGGAGTCTGATGATGAGGTCTTTTTCATCTTCTGACATCATTCCTCGCTTGATGTTCGGTCTGAGGTAATTTTTCCACCTTAACCTGCAGCTCTTACCACTCCTCATTAAGCCTAAGAAGGATATTGAAACGTTAGCTCTATATATCGGAGTAACTAAAGTTATAACTTGCTATTAGACTTAAACGTTTTGAAGTATACCTGACTTCTCAGAAATGGTAGCCCAGTTTCCCTCTCCATGAGTCTCGACGCAATTCTTCAATATCAAGTCCTCCTCAGGTTTCCAAAATCCTCTCTTCATTCTTGTTTTAACATCTTTATCCTTCATTGCACTTTTTCTCTTCCTCTCTCCCGTTAACCTTTTTGTGTAGTAAAATAGGAAATGAGTGGTATTGAAATATATAGATAAATTTTATTTTATTTTGGAGGGGAGGGAGGGGGGGATGAGGTGTGGGGGTTGGGGTTGGGCATATGTCTTACTCACTCTTGAAACAATGATGATGGAATTTAAAATTCTTTACTTTTGGATTACTATGTGTTGAAGTTGAGGGCCCTCAATTTTGATATCTTTTGTACTACCTGACATTGAAAGCCCTTTGTGTGTGTGTTCCACTTTCATACCACTAAAAGCCATTCACAAAGATGCTAACTCATCTGGGTATACCTTTCACCAAGTCCTACGTGGGAAGAGGAAATTAGAAAAAACTGATAATTAAAGACTTCTTTTTTGGTGCATTGTATATGGTGGAAAGTTAATAGACTTTGAACAGACATGAAGGATTACCCTTTCAAGTATAGTATCATTTTGCAATGAAAAACAAACAAAAGATCATCATTTGCAATGTTATGTCATGATTAGGGGTTTTCATCCGTATGTTCAAAGTTAGTATGGTACTAAAAGTTGTCTAATCACTAATGTATAGTGCCTTTCCTGTTTGTGGAAGCATATTTGATTTGTGAAGCCCTTTCTTATTAGGAGTATATTCTTAAAGGGCGGCGTAACAACTGTAGAATGTATCAAAATATTACGACCGTCTATCCTAGCTGAGTTCAAGTTTATCCCTTGCACTTCAGACAACCATTTGAAGCATCATAAGAGACACCCTTTTCGAGTGTCGTTTATAAGTTGGTCAAATTAGTTTATATGTACTTATTTACATTTTTGTTATTTACATTTTTGTTTAACACCCAAGTGCTTATGAGTTAAAATCAATCAAAAGCCATAAGTTGATGACTCCGGCTTATGGCTTTCAGCGTATATGAACTCTTAGATTTGACGAAGTATTTTACTATTTATATATAGTTTTTATAAAACTCTTCGTAAAGTAGAACTCCTAGCCCATCCTTCGAGGTGACCCAGTGATTTGAGTTTGGAACTTCCATATTAGCATTCGAAACCCCTTGCCAGCAACATCAAGGGGTTTGCCTGGGTTGAACTCGTTGCACCAGGCTTGCCTAGTGCGGGTTACCTCTCCTATGTGGTTTGCAAGCTATTGCATAGGAATGAGGGTTTTTACTTGTGCGCATTCAAAGGATAGTGGTTATGAGTTTTCCTTATTTAAAAAAAAAAAGAACTCCTAGCTTCCTTCTCCATTTCATTTTCTTTGTTCGTGCTTCTCCTTGTACATATGCTCTTCTATTGTTTTGTTCATAACTATAAGGACTAATTATCAAAACACATAATTGCTTATTTATAAAATCAATTTCAATTTCAATTTCAAAGTGTTTTTCAACGGTTTGGTTAGAGTTAATGATGTAGTAGTAATGCATTATTAGTTCTATAGAGATTTGTTAGTCCTCGTTATTCATGTACCACTTATTCCACATTTTGCCCTGCATAAAATAATACATAATTTTTTTCATAACTTGTACATATATTAGTTAAGCAGAATTGTAAACCGGCAATCAAAAACAACTTATTTGTTGTGTTGAATCAACTAAAGTGTAACCAAATACAGTATTTATTATACTAATTTTAATGCATAAACAAATCACTTTCTAACCCACAACCAAACTAGTCCTTGATGTTTATCAGCTAACTTTAACATTCTAGCTATTAAGACGTGCTAGGAATGTAATCTGAAAATTGTGATATCTTTAATTATCAGTTTTTCTATTTCCTTTACGGATTTGTTTGGTTTGAATTCAAGTTATGATGGGATAAGTTATATTGAGATTATTTTTTATTGAGTGTTTGATTTATTGCATTCAAAATAATAAATCTTAAGAACATATATATCAGCCAATTACCTAATGTGAAAAGTAATGTATAAAAAGTGTTTAAAGGGATGTCTTTGTCATTTAGTCATTTCATCTCGGGATAAGTTATTCCTGAATTACGACCACCTAAGGGAAGGGATAAGTTATGCCAGTACTAATTATTAATCTTGAGATAAATTATCTCGAACTTGTCAACCAAACAATAAATTAAGTGACACTATAATTTAATCCTAGGGCTATTTGAAGTTATCCTTCACAAATTAAGTGTTGTTGCAAAGTTGAGTAGATGGGATTGTTTAGTTGCCTGTCTTAGCCAAAATATTTCATGTATTGGTCCTTATAATTGGTTATATATATATATATATATATATATATATATATATATATATATATATATATATATATCGTCCCACAAGTTCAGATGTAGGTCATACTTCATTTTTTTGGTAGGTACAAGCAACTCTTGCCAGCTAAAATTTTTGAAGGGATAGTACTATTATGCCAGCTCAAAATGTGATAGGAACCAAAGATATATATATATATATATATATATATATATATTATGTCTTGTACTAATATTGATATGAATTATGATGATCTTGGAAGAAGTGAAAAACATATGGAAGAGGGCATGGGACATTGGGCAATTCTAAAAGGTGCCAAAAGTGAAAATGATTGAACCCATGAGGGCATAATGCGCCAATCATCAACCTTAAAGTGCTTTGAATACTGTTCTTGATTGAACTCCAATTGCCTCCCCTCTTGGGGGTTCTCATTCCATAAATTTGGATTAATTCCCATCCATTATCCTTTGACGAGCGGACGGTGAGCGCATGTCTTGTTTCTAACTTACTCTAGATTCTTGTTTAGTAGCGTTTATTCATAATTTTTATATTTCTTTCATTTTATTTTATGTGAGATAGTTTGATTCGGCATGAAGTGAAGTTTAAGAAAGAAATAAAAATTTTTAAAACTTGTGGTCTAAAATGAATGATTGGAATTTGAGTGACCGTAAATCATTTCACTAAGGATAAAATGGATATTTTATAATCAAATTGTGATGTCATTTTTTTAAAGATAAGTCACATAAATTGAGAGAGAATAGTAACAGCTTTGCAGAGTTTATTTTTTAAACAAGTGTGGTATTCAAATAAGGACAAGAGGTCAAACATGATTTTTTTTCTATTTATAATCATATGCTTAAGTTTTGATGGACATAATTACTTGATATTTGTATTAGTGGAAAATAGTAGGTATTTGATGAAATAATCAAAGTGCACGCAAGTTGATATTATCCATCATCTCTTATTTCCTCTTGCTATTTGTTCCTTTTGGTTCATCATCATTGTTTTAGTGTTAGGGCTATATAAATTGCAATGCAAATTATCTTCATACTTTATAATTCATGAGACAATAATAAGGTCACCTACAAACTCCCCTCTTATCTTTACACATACGAAAAAAGACAGTTTGGTGTATTAAATATTTTATATTCACGCATGATTCAAGGATTGTATTCTAAGGGTGTCTAATCTAGGTAGCCTATCCTAACTTTTTCATTATAGTGGCTAATTTCATCTCAAGTTTAATTACAAGATATCCTACCTTATCTCATGAACGAAACTATCCTAACAACTCGATATACATATATATATATATATGTTCAACAACATTTCGACATAGAATTGTATGGTTGTATTCAAAGTTAGATGAATAGTATGTGTGTTAAATAAGGCAAAGGAAGAAAAGGGTTGTCAAGTCCTTTCATGAAAAACTAAAGCTGCAGCATACACCTCATAAGAAGAAGATAGTGGATTAGTACAGAGAGCAATATTTGAACACTTTTAAGCTGGCATATTTCTTGGATTTTATTTATTTATTTTGCTTTTCAACTTTTCTCATTATAGTGTTTACTGAGATTATTCCCCTTGTTTCTTTGATCAAACAAAAAAAAAAACAGTACCAAAATCTTTCATAGATATCTATTCTTTTAAAAGTACCACATTTGTTTTTGTCCTCTTTCACACGTGGAAGGTTAATTTTCCTTCTTTTAAATAATAAAAGAGGTGAATAAGTAAAATATTTCATGATTCACAACTAATTTCGTTATTACATTTAGTATAATAAAATAAGTTTACGTGATATCCAGAATCAAAAAGTTGTTCACATTATAATAAAATCCCTAAAATTAAGCTTAGCAATTAGATATATTTTTATGAGAAAATTTTAGCAATAGTTTGAGATTTTAGAAAACAAATAGGAAGAGAGATGAACGAGATTTAAAAGAGAGAGACAATAGTAAGGTATGAGATTGTGTTATGGAACTTACATAAGTTAAAATTTGAGGGGCAACATTTGTGTTGTAATCTGGATTTTTGTTCAATTTCAAAAATAAAATTAATGATATTAATATATCCCTATTAATTAAGTTAAGATAATTGTTCTTTAAAAATAAATAAATTAATAAGAGAGATAAACATAAAATTATAAACTACAACGAAAGTAAATAGTAGAAAATTAAACTCGAAGTATGATTTGTGTGCAATTATCTCTTTTATCTTTTGTTTATAATGATTTTGTAGAAAAAAATAGTTTAACTTGTAGCCGACTTTATAAAAGATAAATCTAAAAGTTGAATGACTATATTGATACAAAATTAAGTTGAGCGACCTTTTCAAATAGTTTCACATAATTGAGTGATATGTTGAGATATTTACTCAATTTCCTCTAGCAAAATCTTACAAAAGTACGCAAGACTATTCTATAGGGTCGTTATTGCTAGAATTACATTGTATATATAGGATAGATTCTCGATATTTTTATATATATACTAATTTTAAATCACCTAGAGGGATAGCCTTGTGGTACTGAATTGTGCAAAATGTTGTCATGGTATCATTAAGGTGTCTTGTTCAGAAATTATTCATTAGTCAATGATATCATAAAAGTATATGTATATTGTTGTGATATCATTAAGATTTCCTGTTCAGAAATTACTCATTAGTCGATGATACTATAAGAAGATACGTATATTGTTGTTGTATCATTAAGGTTTTTTGTTCAGAAATTATTCATTAGTAAATGATACCATAAGAGTATACGTATATT